AAGACAGACAGACAGACAGACAGACAGACAGACAGACAGACAGACAGACAGACAGACAGACAGACAGACAGACATTGTCATTTCATAAACCCCCCATTCATAAATATTTTGTTCTTCTTCAATATGACCTTTGTATGGCGAACATTAGCCAATCACATTCACCAGCAACACATGTTACAAACAACCTATTGCATTAAATGACAGTAGCTGGAGCAGTATTGCTTATTGGAGTAACGAAACGTCGAAGGAACTTACCAAACCCAATATATTTCGAGGTATCACTTAACATGATGATGAAAATAGAAGTCACCAAATTACTGTTATGGATGTTGATGGTGTGTTTACTTCGTCAACCCTGACAAATACTGAATTTGTAAAACACAAATTGAACATTGCTGGTTTAGTGCCAGCGGACAGTGATGGCGCTTGGTCTTGTTCCGGTATAATCTCAGCCATTGATATGCCCATCGTTGACAGCAGGGATCGCCCTCGAAATAAAGAACAAATTGAAAGATTCTTATTAAAAATATACATTCGGTTTTCATGGAAACAATCATTTTGAAGTTGATTTTACAGTAACATCCACAACAAATTTCAGGAAGGAGTTGCTAGAAAAAAAAGGTTATGGTATTGTTGTGAATTCGGTTGAATTGAAGCAATTGTTTTGATATCGATTTTTGTTATTATTTATGACTTGATATCGATTGATTGTCATAAAGTGTGCCCACCACACAGAATAACCACTTATCTCCTAATCGACATGTGGATCTAGGTACAATGAAAAGAACCATCATGTCAGTTATTAATATTTAATAATTGGAAAGAGTATTTGGAAATCTGTCATCCAATCATTAAGGAATGTAGTAATCGATTATATATCTTGAAGAACACTGTTATGGTTGCCATGGAACGGGTAATTGATGGGATGTTTCAACTAACTCCTAAGAAGGATTCCGCTTCGATAAATGCTATGCTAGAATTTGAGACAGATCTGCCATGCCATGATTTTTCTCCACCAAAATAACAGTGGTTGTCCTTTCTTTCTTACATTTTAGTATAGAGATCTCAAAATTAATTGTCATGAAGACAGACAAACTGAAGATGTTTGAGCTCTCAGAATGTCTTTCAGTTATGATAGATAAAACTTACACACTCTCTTTCTATAAGGTCATTGATGACATGATTAGAAGAATGCAAACCAATGGTATTAAATTATTAGCATCGCTTGCACTGAGTGATGACCCAATTCCAGTTCTTAAAATTATAAAGGTGAGTACAAATAGGGGTTCTGAAATGTATATAAGTTATGGAGTTTTATTTTTTGCAACACATTTAATTCCAAGGATACATGTTTCGAAGTTGATTAAGAGACTCTATAATAATATTTGTATTTTGTTTTTTGTATGTCACATGATGTTAGGTCTAGTCTAGAAACTTTCCAGGATGCTAAGCGTTACAACAATGTTACTAACATCAATGGTGAAGTAAGGCATTTGATTTTTCAATCTTATATTAACCGATCTTAAATTTGAAAACTTCGTCCGATGGTCAGTTTTGACTTTAAATGAAACATTTTCTCTTGCCTTATTCAATGAAAACTATAATTGCGTCTTGTTCGTCTGTATGGAAAATATATATTCCCTTCAAAATCATTTAGCAAAAGTGTGCCGGAAGTATAGTACCATGAAAGTAGGTTTAAAAAAAGTAAAACTTCACGAAAATGCGTATTTTCATATGTGTGTCATGGCTCATTGTCGATTTATTCTCTGAGATTTGTTATGGTATGTTTTGTCTAGGAACAAATTAAAAACAAACCATAGTATTGTACTCTATATACATACTTTCCAAATAATTGGGATGTCTATTTACTAAACCAAATTAAAATGTTAAATTTAAATTAAACTGAAATTCCTGGTAACTGGATTCTATTCTAGATTAAACAACAAATAAAAATGTTTACTGTTGCTTCAGTATATTACTACAATTATTACATCTCTTTTTCTAAGACGTTTGCAGAATACGAGGAACGTTATCATCACGTTATTAATTCAACAGCTGCGTATTCCGAAATCATACCGCACATGTGGCATAGTTTGGGGTATGATGCAGTTTGGTCAGTAGCTCTGGCACTGAATGCAAGCATCAATGACATGGCACTGATGGTTGGTGTACATTTACATATCTCACATTATATTTATCTCACATCTTGATGCGACGTAATTTTATATCTACAATACAATACAGAGCAGATTAATCCAAACCATTGACATAATTTTGACTAACCTATTCACATATGTGTGTGGTCACGAACAGAAAACAGATGCACGAATTATCATCGTTCATGCATATGAAATTATTCAAGGGTTTTATTTTGTGAAGTAAGTCTTTATTTATTTATTGTATAAATTATTTGACTTGACATTTAGCATTTACATATAGTATTGTTAATTTTACTATGTAAATAAACGAATAACGAAACCATATTTAACAAAAAACAATACAGATAAGTTAACACACTATATATAGATCTACTTTGCTCAGTAAGTTTATAAAGTAATGCCACACGAATAACTCTCATCTACGGTATCGACATAGGCATACAAACAAGGCATGTATTGATCCTCTTTTGCTTGGTTCATTCCCGGTTTCTATTCTGAGGGATGGTGGGAAATTGAAGACCCAAGTATCGACTGTACACGTAAAGAGTTAAAAATAGCTACGCAGAGTGTCATAGAAATTTTCCAGGATGCTAAGCGTTACGACAATGTTACTAACATCAATGGTGAAGTAAGGCATTTGATTTTTCAATCTTATATTAACCGATCTTAAATTTGAAAACTTCGTCCGATGGTCAGTTTTGACTTTAAATGAAACATTTCCTCTTGCCTTATTCAATGAAAACTATAATTGCGTCTTGTTCGTCTGTATGAAAAATATATACTCCCTTTAAAATCATTTAGCAAAAGTGTGCGGGAAGTATAGTACCATGAAAGTAGGTTTAAAAAAAGAAAAAATCACGAAAATGATTATTGTCATATGTGTGTCATAGCTCATTGTCGATTTATTCTCTGAGATTTGTTATGGTATGTTTTGTCTAGGATTTCACATTAAACTTTAGTATTACACTAAGATATAGAGACTGAGGTAGTGAGATAGAGAAACCTTCGTGTGGCAAATTTGGCGAAGAACGCTTATAGGATTAACCTATCTAACCTGCCATTTTGCAATCACTTGGAATGATTTTTCTTGCCTTGAACATGTCTGTTATTTGTGTATGTTACTGTAATTGTTTATATTAGTTTACATTAAGCTGCGTATGACTCTACTATAAAAGGTATACTACTTTGTTCCTTTGTTACCATGCTTATCTTATCCGACCAAACGACCATTTACACATACGACTGCCAAATTCCCACACGTGCTGACCAGCGATGCGAACAAACAATTGACATTACTTTACATGTATATGTGTAATGCGTTGTATATTTAATTATTAAAGATCGCCTGTTTTAAACTGTTGTATACCTGTCTATATTTTACAACAGGGACACGTCTGGTTCAATAAAAACCAGGATAGAATTGGAAGCATTGGGATATCTCAAATTTGGGGTACGCAGATAAATTTTAATCGTATATTTTGTTTGATGTTCAATACAATGTAATATTACACCTTAACCAATATTTATTTTAGTTCTACTTGATTTTACTAGACGGAGAACGAGTTTATCGTGGATGTGCAACGTATGACGGGCAATTTCATCTTATGAGTGAATTTCAGTGGCCTGGTGATAATCATAATAGTTTCATTGACTTGTAATCATTGTAGTGGCCGTCAGCTTGTAAATAATTAAATTAATTGTATGTGTTTCATCGGTTTTAAAAAGTTATAATATCGAAATATTCATGTGCCCAGCAATTACGAACACCAATATAAACATGTATTCAACACATTTCCTCAGGCGGAGAGCCCCCATTGGATGAGCAGACCTGGTCGTATAAAGTTGTCACTGTTGGAAAAGCTTTGTTTGTCACTGCATCTATCTTGTCTAGTATTGGAATCACTGCTGCAGTAGTATTTCTAGGATTCAATATAAAATATCGAAATCATGGGTAAAAATGATTTATTATTACTTGTTATTTTACATATTTTATTCCCAAAATAAACAAGAATTCAGTCGATAGATTTTGTTCTAGCTTATTTTTTTTTCAATTATCTGGAATATATTCACAGTGTTGGGAATCGGAACATGATTAAATGTCCCTTATTGCTTCAAATATTAATCAACGTTTTAATTGAAATGACAAAATAGATAAACACATCGTAGTATTTAATGTTGGTAACAGTAAATAGTATACAATGTTGACATTTTGCTCATTATTTTTAACTACTAGAATAAACTGGTTTGTTCATAAAGTTGTCTTCACCAAGAATGAACAATATAATCGTGTTTGACTTACCAAAGTTCGGGCTTTCAGCGTCGTAAATATTCGATGGACACGCCACGTCTTAGCAAACATGGAACCAAATGATAACGTGAATCCAATTGATAATGTCCATTTGCTAACCTTAAGTTTAGAGATGAAGAAGCATTACAACATATTAGTGAACATAATCACCATATTATTCATGGTAATGTTATCGAAGATTTTATAAACAATTATATCACATTTAACTTATTTCCTTAAATATTTTTTTGTGTGCAATAACCAACTTGAACACTTTTACAAAACTTTGATGGATCATTTTGTGTGTAGACCCACAATCACGTTAAAAAGTCAATTGAAACGTTATTCGTCGTCCAATTTGTGTGCATTAAATTGGCAGTTGTAAGTCAATCCATTATTTCACATTAAACATTACTGTGAAAACAGCTAGAATTGTAGTATTTGAAGTAAATTTGCAAAAATGAGCTCACCACGCACGATATTGATTTCATGTGGATTGGTATATAAAATGAAGCGTTTAATAATCCCATCAGAACAATTGACATATATACTAGCATAGAACCAAACACGATTATATTATATATTCACATACAATCACTCTACAGCGTATATTACTTCAGTATTGACAATTTTAAATATTCGAAAAATAGATATCAACGTGCGGCCACTAAGTATGAGAAATTAAATTCTCCAAATTTACAAATGTTCTCAAATCAATCCCAAAAAATTCGTTCTGCTCGTTACGCTCACCGGAAGTGATGTAATCAAACATGTCTGTGAATGAGTAATACCAGAACATAATTGACATATCATTGTTGAATATATTAGTTGTGTCGTATAGATGTCATATATGTTCATGCATTCGTTACACAGGCACTGTACTGTTATTTATTTATAAATTACAAACACACATACATATACACAGTGACAAATAAATCATCATATCAGGGAAGTGAAGGTAATGCGTGGTCCATGTTACTAATCACTTCATTACGTCTCGCGGGGCATGAAAGACATCAGCTTGATAATCTTTGTCGGTATACTCTGTATGATTGATTTCATGATACTGACAGCATGGCAGTTCGTTGATCCGTGTTTTGCGTTCCTTGAAGAGTGCGTATTTTGG